CAATAACGGGATTTAAAAGTTAAAATGATGATCAGGTTTATTTACAACTACAAAAAAACATAAACCTTTCCATCCACAGGTTGGGAATAATAAAACTAATTCTGCCTGTGGGGAATTAAAACAAAAGTACAAATAAGTAGGGATGTCCCACTGGGCAAAGATTACTGGGTTCTGGACCAAAATAAGAATCTCCAAAGGTCCAACTCTAAACTGGGTGGTTAAACCAAACTCAAGGTGATATCTTAAACGAAACCAAAAACCCACGACACTCTAAATGTAATAAAAGGGAGATCTACGCCACAAAAAAGATTAACTCTAAACCAAAACGTAACAGCTTATCCAAACGCAAGAAGCTGTTAGCGAAAATGCTAACAGTAGCTTTACCAACATTAAGTTCAAGTTACCAAGTTTAAATGAACCAAAAACACCCAGCAAACAGACCAGCACGGAGGAGAGACTGCTACCACCAAAACAGCTCTCCTAATGTCAGAAAGAGGCTCCCTTATGAAGGGAGAAACGCTCCCGGTGATGTTCTACATCTGCGGTAGAGACGGAGCAGCGCATCTGACCCCGGAAGTTGTTGTCCGTTGCCAGGAGACGAAGGCGGGCAAAACAGGAAAGGAATCTAGTAGTGGACGGACATTATTCCGGGTCTTCTGTATTTGGCGGAGATGTTAGTGAAGGTGGAGAAGAGGGCGAACTAGAGGAAAAACATGCAGATTCCTCTTCTATTTACAAACTCCTGTGGATGCAACAAGTGGGCGCGGTGCGTCGACTACCGGATCTGACGTCGACAAATTTTTAGAATCGAGCCGTCGACATCATCGAGGCGTCGCTACAGCCCTAGGAGTTATACACTCTTACTGCAGAGGAGATGAAAGATCAACTGTAGTGTTCTGATTTACATCCGGGATGTCTCAATCGGGCTCTGAAGGAGCTGCCCATGGTCTCCACAGTGGAATGCAGTGGGTGGGAGGATTATAAGATGGTGGTCATCTTCCCCAGCATCCTCCTTATGTTTTATGTTTTTATTTAGCAGACGCTTTTATCCAAAGCGACTTACAATTTATAACCTATAGGGAATGTTGTGATCTGTGGGGGAAACCGGAGTACCCGGAGGAAACCCACGCATGCATGGGGAGAACACGCAACTCCACGCAGAAAGGCTGCAGCCGAGTTTCAAACCTGCAACCTTCGTGCTGCGAGGCAACAGTGCTAACCACTGCGCCACCAGGCAGCCATCCTCTCGCACATCTCCTCAACTGTATCCAGTGGGCAACTAAGAACAGAGCTAGCCTTGTGATCTAGCTTGTTCAGTCTCTTCCGGTCTTTGTCATAAGCTGCCTGCACCCCAACAGACCACAGCAGAGTGGATAACAGAGCCAACCACAAAGTGATAAAAGGATTTTAGCAGCTGGGAATTAACTCCAAAGGACCTCAGCCTCCTCAGGAGGTGAAGGCAGCTTTGGCCTTTCTTATACTGAGCATCTGTGTTGTTGGACCAGTTGCGTTTGCTGTTGAGGTGAACACCCAGGTACTTAAAGGTATCCACCTCCTCAATGTCTGCTCCTTGGATGTTTACTGGTGAGTAAAGCCGGGCGTACACTGTGCGACTTTTTCACTCGCAGCGTTCAGCTTCAGCTCAAACTGTACGACTTCCTCGCAGAGCAGATCTCACGAGTCATGTGCTCACACTGCACGACCCAGTTCTCGGATGCGACCTGACTGCTCACACTGTACGTCTGGTAGCAACACGTCGGCCCTAAAAATATGCTAAAAATAGCAGGTTTTACTCAACACGTTAGACTTTTTTGTCTTGTCTTGCCTGTTGTCCTTCGGGAGTGCTGCAGGAGGACACACAGGGATTTATGGGGGTTGGATGAGGAAAACGAAATAAAGAAAGTAAATCTGTGTTTAGTGATCAGTTTAATTTGACATGAACACGACAAACACGCTTTCTTGACAATCTTTGCGAGTAAAAAAACGTGTAGAAACAAAAACGAACGTGTGTTATTAGGGAAATAGCGAGCGAGCGGCGTTGATGCAGGATTGCGCATGCGCCGTGAGCGGTTCTGACACTTTTTGGGTTGCAGCTGCTCGCAGCGCCGCTTCAACAGTGCGATATCCTCACGAGGGACGAGCAAAATATTAAACACGCCAGAAGTCAGTGCGACCTCACGACTGCTGATCGGTAGCTGGTCACGTGGTGTTAATCGCCTCTCGTAACCCCCTGTACACTACACGACCGCTCGGCGCAAAACTCGCCCCGATGTCGTGGCTTCTCGCACGACTGGAAAATCGGCTCAAAAAAGTGAAAAAGTCGCACAGTGTACGCCCGGCTTAAGAGTTTCTCTAGAAGTCAATAACCATTGCCTTTGTCTCACTGGTGTTAAAGTGAAGGTGGTTACGCTCACACCAGTCCGCAAAGTCCATGATGACTGACCTGTACTCCCGGTCATTACCCTCAAACACACCACTGACAATGGCCGAGTTATGACACGTCTCACCTTTATGTTAATATTGTTTTATTTGATGCACTCCACTTTGAACTGCACCAATCCAGCAACTGCTGCATTTTAATAACTAGTATTAAAGGTGAATACACCAATATTTGCACAAGAATAATTTTTGTTTTAAACTGCAAGATGCATTACAGTGAACATTATAATAAATGGTAACTAGCCTGTATTTGATATAGCGCCTTCTAGAGTCCTGGAACCCCCCAAGGCACTTTACAACACAATCAGTCATTCACCCATTCACACACACACATTCACACCCTGGTGGGGATGAGCTACGATGTAGCCACAGCTGCCCTGGGGCGCACTGACAGAGGCGAGGCTGCCGAGCACTGGCGCCGCCGGTCCCTCCGACCACCACCAGCAGGCAACGTGGGTTAAGTGTCTTGCCCAAGGACACAACGACAGCGACAGACTGAGCGGGGCTCGAACCTGCAACCTTCCGATTACGGGGCAAGCTCTTAACTCCTGTGCCACCATCGCCCCAAGAATAATAAAGTAAAATTTTCAAGTGCAGAGAAGAGACAACCCATAGAAGCACTGATTTGATGTCATTTCAGAGAATAGAACAGATCAGAGGCAGTGACCGACGCACGCACGAGCCGTTTTCAGCTCTGTCTTGTCAAATGCACCACGTACGTTACGAAAAAGTAACTTTAAATATTCAACCGAAAAAGAGGCGAGCTGAAGAAAACCTAGGGAGCACTGAAGAAACGTGAGCAACAGTGAAGCAAACACAGAGATCCGTGTCTGTCTGTCTGTCTGTCTGTCTGTCTGTCTGTCTGTCTGTCTGTCTGTCTGTCTGTCTGTCTGTCTGTCTGTCTGTCTGTCTGTCTGTCTGTCTGTCTGTCTGTCTGTCTGTCTGTCTGTCTGTCTGTCTGTCTGTCTGTCTGTCTGTCTGTCTGTCTGTCTGTCTGTCTGTCTGTCTGTCTGTCTGTCTGTCTGTCTGTCTGTCTGTCTGTCTGTCTGTCTGTCTGTCTGTCTGTCTGTCTGTCTGTCTGTCTGTCTGTCTGTCTGTCTGTCTGTCTGTCTGTCTGTCTGTCTGTCTGTCTGTCTGTCTGTCTGTCTGTCTGTCTGTCTGTCTGTCTGTCTGTCTGTCTGTCTGTCTGTCTGTCTGTCTGTCTGTCTGTCTGTCTGTCTGTGTGTGTGTGTGTGTGTGTGTGTGTGTGTGTGTGTGTGTGTGTGTGTGTGTGTGTGTGTGTGTGTGTGTGTGTGTGTGTGTGTGTGTGTGTGTGTGTGTGTGTGTGTGTGTGTGTGTGTGTGTGTGTGTGTGTGTGTGTGTGTGTGTGTGTGTGTGTGTGTGTGTGTGTGTGTGTGTGTGTGTGTGTGTGTGTGTGTGTGTGTGTGTGTGTGTGTGTGTGTGTGTGTGTGTGGGACGGACTGAGCTCCCGGCTGCAGTTTTGTGTGTAGGGAGGGGCGGGCGCTCTGTAACTGGCCAATCACAGAGCGTGAAGACAGTCAGTTACCCAATGAGGATTTTCCTTCAGCACGATTACAGATATTTACGAGTTTTACTCGTTTCATGCTCGTACTCGTCAAAAATGTTTTATCCGGTATCCGGCTCATCCCTAGCTGTAACCACCCTGCCCTGCCTCCTCCTCCTTGCTTTCTGCCGGCTGTGATCACAAGCAACAACAGAGTAGTTCCCGCTGCTTCTTTGGGAAACGGCGCAAAAAAAAAAAAAAAACATCAATAAAACTTGGGATCTTGTAGGCGTGGCACTGGGATTTCTGCTGTGGCGGGCGGCCACGGCTATGCCTATGTAAGGGAAACACTGGAATGAGCACCATACCCTGTGGAGTTCAAGTATTGCACACAACCACCTCAGATGTACAGTTGTGCAACCTCACCTACTGTGTCCTGTTGGTGAGGTAGTTGATGGTATTTATGAAAAAAACATTTCAGCTGAGAGCTGTTGGTGTCCTGTGGGACATTGTTTCTGGACCACCCTTTAACACCAGGAACCAGAAAATAAACATAATTCTGACATGCCCTAGACAGTCCCAGTTCAACTTTTTAGGATGATCTGCGATGCACATGATGGCACACGCATCACCGAAGCTTCAGACAGACTTTCCATAGTTCTAATTCTATATGTATTAGCTCATCGCACACTAAATAACCACCATGAAATGGAAAATCTGCTGTTGGATGGTAGGAACGATTATTATTACTGGTAAATTGATGTTTAAACTCAGAAGTCTCCAACAGAAACCTGACTTATGCATCGTAGATTCAGCCAACGATAGCAAAGGGAAGAAAGCTTAAATCCACTGAAGAACAGGGCACTATCACCCAGAATGTCCGAAGCTGGTTACGAGACAAGTTCAGACAGAAGTAACGGGCTTGCTGAAGCTGTGTACAACCAGCTTTATCTTCCCAGCCATTGTTTAAAAAAAGATTCTGCTTTTGTGCAAAATGTATTCTTCTGTTGGAGGCTAGAAAGGTCACACTTTAAATGAGTGGCAAAATGGTACTCACCATCTCTATGACCTTCTCTGCCTTGTCCACATTCTCAATATCAAAGTGACCCGGAGGAGCCTTTTCCATCTGTTGTGTCAACTTCATGTTGGCTTCAGCCATCTGAGGCAGGAAGTTCTGTAGCCGCTCCAACACTGACGCACAAACAAAACCAGACAGACATGTCATGGTTCCTATCAAACTGTTGACCTTGCTTGGTGTTCCTACAAACAAATGTTGGGATTGTATAAAAGGACTCACTGCTACTTCTTGGGACTCGCTCTGTCTTCAGGGACTTGCCAGCCTTTCGTTTGAGCAGCAGTTTCTCACTGAGAGCTAGTTGCAGATAAACAAATCATCTTCAGTTAAGAAAATTAAGACAAGACCGGTCTTAGGCCTAGTCCACACATAGCCGGGTTTTTTTTTTAAACGAATATCCGCCCCTCCAAAAACTTGCATCCACACCACCTCGTTTAAAAAAAAAAACTCTGTTCACACGTACCCGGATAAATACATTGTTAAGGATATGCCAGACCTGTAGGCGGCATTACTTCCCCGTTCTTAACCTCGTCCTTCGTCTGTGGTCTTCCGCAAGGAGCAGTAATTCCGCTTGCAAAAACAAACAAGCTAAAAGCGCTTGGACAATTGATAAAGCGAGCGCAGCTCTGAGGGCATCCATGCTGTCGGCTAGTGTAAACACAGGTCGCACACGTGATGTCAGCATTTTTCTGTCGCGGAAAGTGACGTTGCGGACCATAAAACTCCGGTTTTGTCTGTCCACACGCAGACACCCAAAACGGAGAAAACGCATATCTTCACTTTGGCCGGAGTTTTTTAAAAGATCCGTTTTCGTGTGAAAAAACTCCGTTTTCGTGTGGATGACAGGCCAAAACGTAGAAAAATATCTACGTTTTGGCAGATCCCCGGCTAGACAGGGCCTTAGACCCACAAAACTGAAATTGTCAAGTCATGTGGCCCCAGTTTTCTGTAATTTGACAATAAACTACTACAAATGAGAAAAGAATAGATACAAGAATTCAGGGCATTAAAAAAAACACTTCAGCTAATACTTATAAATTCATGACAATTTTGTTGTTAGAACTATAGCTTTGATAGTTGTTTTTCTACTTTATTTCACTTTTTAAAAGTCATTACAAGTCCCCCTCAACCGCTCTAGAGTCACCATCAGGCATGTTTTAGTTGTTTACCTGTTCAAAAACACTTGATAAAATGGTTTAATCACCTGCTCAGAGGATAATTAAACTCTGCAGGAGTCTGTTGATCACTCACTTATTAAAACCAGGTGTGCTGAATCAAATACACATCTAGAATTGACTTCAAAGTGCTTTTACTAGTCTATAAATCTCTCAATGGTATAGGACCAAAGTACATGTCGGATCTCCTTCCAGTATATACGCCCAGCAAGGCTCTCAGAAGCTTGGGAAACATTCAGCTGGTAGTACCTCGGGTCAAAACCAAACAGGGCTAAGCTGCTTTTGGTCATTTTAGCTGCACACAGATTAAATCAACTTCCTCATAACTTCAAATGTGCCCCAACTCTAGTAACTTTTAATTAAAAATTAAAAACATTCATGTAGTCATCAGCCTTTGGATAAATGTTTCTTATGCTGCACTTTCTGCACTGTAACTGCTACCCTTTTGACCATGCCTTTTATCTGTTTGTTTAATCTGAAATTACTTACTACATTTCTTTGTTTGATTTACTGTGTTTGCTGTTCTTGCTTTTGTAAAGCACTTTGAATTGCATGCGTTTGAAATGTGCTATATAAATAAAGCTGCCTTGCCTAAATCATGCAGGATGGTGGCCCTTGGGAACCAGGACTGGACACCATTGTGAGAAGATAACTTCGGTGTCCAAAGAAAAACTCTAAATCCTTAAAAACACTGGATAGTAAAATAGCGTGACAAGATGTCATTGTTTTACTTAACAGAGTTGAAGCTAAAACATTTCCTCAAAGGCAATAGTGTATAAAACCAGGGTTGGTGAACACACACCACCGTTTGTCAATTATACAGCACATATTTAATAAACATCTCTCCACACTTTCAGACAAGAAAAAACATTCAAACCTCCTTCGTTGCCACATGATAGCAGCGACCGTGAGGTCGTTTTCTTCGCGTTTTGGTCCATTTTAGGTAAGCCGCGCATTTATTTTGCTGTACATGTGTTAGAAAGACGAGATCCGGGTCACAGTTCAAGACAGCTACACGTGTGTGTGATCATTTCCACAGCGCCACCTAGTGTTGGAGAAACTTCTCACCACTTCAACTAGCTCCATCTGGCTGCAAGCGACCCAAAACACTTACTAATTCACAGTTGTTTAAAATATCAGTTTATCTTTCTGCCAGGTTTAAAACATTCACATCTGTGTCAATAAGCGTTTGTTTTTACTTTAGACCTCATTTGCGCCTGCGCACGCCCATCAAAATATCTGTGTTGGCAGTGCACGCTAGAAGTGCAGATGATAGTAAGAGGTCTCACTCTTACATTATTTGGTCTGCATGAAGTAAAAGGCGCTTGTCTCCTTATCTTTATATATATATATATATATATATATATATATATATATATATATATATATATATATATATATATATATATATATTTGAAGGTATTTTATTGACTTCATCAAAAATATATATGTATACTTTATACATAATATAAATTGGTTAATTAAAAATAGTAAAAGGTAAAAGTTCTAAATAATCAGATACTTTGATTTAGGATTATATTTGATGATTTTAATGAAGAAAAACTAACGAACGTGTTGTTTTTAGTGCACGTGACAAAGTGTGTATTTTGTTCCATAAATATAAATTTCAAATCTTCACACAGTGGCAGAGAACATTTAAACGCAACAATTATGGGCACAATATTTATGTAAAGCGAAGCTGCTCATCTCTTCTTTTTCTACCCATCTTTGGTGGCACTATTTGCTCTGACGCCGCTCTCGCTGCCTGTCTGTCAGAGGTTACTCGTATCTCTTCTTGTTGAAAATTCTCCTCCGCTATTAGGTAAGTCGTTATTGAGACAAAAGAAAATAAATTGACTCCTGGAATAAGCATTTAAAAAGTATTTACATTTAAAGTGCGGACGGTCGGTGTTTCTTCTGGCTCACGCGCAAACGCATCGCGAGGAAGCCTACCTGCTTCTGTTTTGATTCCTGTACAGCTAGCTAGCAGCACCACCGAGTTAGAAAGCCACCATTATACACATCTATATAACATTTTGGTGTGGTTATTGATCAGTAAGAGCTTACTTGTGTTTTTAGAAGACCTTAAGCGGAATAATCACCATAAACTGGAGCTAAAATGTGATGTACAGGCCTGGGTGGTGGAGGAAAATCCTTAAAAGTTCTCAAAACATACCTTTATCTGTCACAGCGGCCACTTTCTTTTCCTGTCTAGTTGCACGGTTTATTTAAATCTACGCTCGAAACTGAATTAGATCGGAAAAAAACGTTTGTTGATATTTCCTGTCCTAGATGAGGTCATACGTTGTTTTAAATTCATGTGATTCCGATTAATCCAAGGTTAGATCCAGTCTGGAGCAGCTTCCTACGGTCATTTCCTCCAGCCAGGTGCAGTCCTCAGAGCTCTAGCGTTTCATTTACTGTCCAGAAACAACGTGTATACAACAATCAGTGTCCTCTTTACTGTTATTAGAATTAGGTAATAAAGCCTATAATGATACATTAATATGATGCAAGACTTATATTTAACTTAAGCTAGGCTAAAGTGTTGTAGGTGAACTGTAGCCAGCCAGGTTCTTCTCAGATGATATTCGATCACCTGAGCAGCAGCAAGTGTGTTAACACCAAGGAGGCTAGACAAAAGCAATGATATCAGAAAAGCAGGAGTAGAAATTCACCCTAGGGTGAGGCCATCTGATATGGGACTGTTTTGAAAACATCTTTAAAAATATATCTTTAAAGCTCCACTTCAGACTCTTCTGGCCCCTGTCAACATAAGTAAAGTTCAGCATAAATGGGAGAAGTTTGGATTATTTACAAAAGTTGCATAAGAAAAACCTATACTGTTTAGAAAGAAAATAGTTGCTCATCTTGATTAGTATACTTATAAACTTTTGTATAGAGCTCAACTGATGTGGGCTTTGCTATTTCAGATGGCCGATATGCGCTGAGGATTTTTGAGCCGACATCTAGACGTTTTCCTTCTTATCTGCATTTTAAAATGTCTCTAACAACGACAGTAGATGCGCAACGTTTCTGAGCCTGAATCAGTTTTTGACCACTGAATTTAACCAACTGTTAAATGTTTGACTTTATTACTGAGCAGTAAACTAAATTAAGTTTTAGCCAAAGTTAATCAAACAAATCAATTAACTGAACAAATCATATATATTTAAAGCGGGTGAATAAAATTAAATGTCAGTTTACATTAATGTTTTCTATGATTTATTAAAGCTGCTATTGTAAATCTACAAAAGAAGCAAGCATTGTAACGCAGAGATGCTTCCGCCAGAACCGGAAACCCACAATGCCAGAGGAAACGAGATAGTACTAAACACCAGTCGCTGTTTTCTAGGTCCAAATTTGTTTTCATTGTCCGTGATTTCAAATGGTGTTTTCTTTTTGGGACTCTGGTAGTTTATCCTAAAGTTGAAGAGGTAGCAGCCGGCTGTTTCTCCTCCTCTGATATTGTTGAGTCGAGAACCCCTCACACCAGTGGTGTTCTGTTGCTAAACGCGTGTGTGTAATGAAGGGAAGTACGGTAAGACAGACAACAGGATGGTGAAATGATTGCTTTTGGTCCGAAAAATGTCATTGGTGAATGGTTTTAGACAAATTTAAGAGAACTACTTTGTTATTATTATTATTATTTTTTAATCTCTACAAAATATTTATAGCAATACTATGTTAGAATGTTTATAAGAGGCATGAAAAACATGTTTTCTAGCTGGTTTTCCAAATTTACCATTGCAGCTTTAAGTTGGTGTTTTTCAGGAATGTAAATATACATTTGAATAAAACAAATAGAGTAGTCGTCGTCGTCGTCTTCCTCCGCTTATCCGGGTCCGGGTCGCGGGGGCAGCATCCCAACTAGGGAGCTCCAGGCCGTCCTCTCCCCGGCCTTGTCCACCAGCTCCTCCGGCAGGACCCCAAGGCGTTCCCGGACCAGATTGGAGATGTAACCTCTCCAACGTGTCCTGGGTCGACCCGGGGGCCTTCTGCCAGCAGGACATGCCCGAAACACCTCCCCGGGGAGGCGTCCAGGAGGCATCCTGACCAGATGCCCAAACCACCTCAACTGGCTCCTTTCGATCCGGAGGAGCAGCGGTTCTACTCCGAGTCCCTCCCGAATGTCCGAGCTCCTCACCCTATCTCTAAGGCTGAGCCCGGCCACCCTACGGAGGAAACTCATTTCGGCCGCTTGTATCCGCGATCTCGTTCTTTTGGTCATTACCCAAAGCTCATGACCATAGGTGAGGATTGGGACGTAGATCGACCGGTAAATCGAGAGCCTGGCTTTCTGGCTCAGCTCCCTCTTCCCCACGACAGATCGGCAAATAGAGTATAAATAAAAAATTATCAAACTTCAAAATATCAAATAAAATATATTACACAAAATAAAAAATAGTGATAAACACATCAGCAATACTGCTCTTTGGCTGGATGAGTGAGAACAAATGGGATGTGGTTACCCATAATGCACAGCAGCATGGAGAAACCCTGATGTATATATATATATGTAGATTGTTTGGGTTCAGACCAAACTGGGTCTGAAAACAGGAAGATCATCCCAACAAGGCAGCTGAACAATAAAATAATGAAAGTGTTTCAGTAATCCTATTAAACTCCAGACCTCATTCCAAATCCAGTTTTTTCCTGAAACAGCTACTGAGTTTAGGCTTAGTTCTCATTAAATGACCAAAGACTTGATCTAACCTTTTGATGAAGCATGCTTCTACCAACACTGTGAGTTAATTCCTGCCTTTTCTTTTCTTTTCTTTTAGGTTGTATTTCCTGTTCTACCCGTTTAGTTTCTGTGTAAGCTTTGACTGGTGCATGACTGAACCCAGCAGACATAGATGCTGTACCTGAGCCTGTGTGAAGCACCCTGTCTCTGTGTTCTGGGACCGGTTGACACGAGATGAAACTCTGCGGCTCAGCACATCATGAGCATCCAGAATTTGGGTGGAGCTTTAGGAGAGTCGCTCGGCTCTAGCCTGACCGTGCGTATGAGCGGGGCAGCTGGCAGCTGGAGTTCTCTCTCCCTGAAATCTGTGTCCTCAGTACGTATGGCCTCAATTTTCCAGACCATGGTCCCTACTGGTTATTCCAAACTTCAGGAGGAACGATTGGTCATGGCTGACCTCGGAACTAAATCAGAGGCTGGCTCGTTGCAGAATGGCTACAGGCAGGAGACTTCTCATTTAGAGGGCAGACGGATCCTTGACCGGGCCTCTCGCTCCTCGATAACTCTGTCTGACTGTGGGGATGGATGTTACTCTGAGACAGAACCCATGCTCACGGAGAGGAGGCTCTCTGGGGAAGAGACCAGCAACAAACAGGAGGAAGATCAGGTGGAAGGGCAAGGATCACATGTGCTGAATATGCCCAAGGAGTCTCTGCTCGCTATGACTTTGCAGATGTTGGTGCCTTTCCTTTTGGCTGGATTTGGAACTGTGTCAGCTGGAATGGTGCTGGATATTGTTCAGGTAGGTAGAGTTACAACATGGCTCTTATCCAGCTTAGTGTAGAGACAGGGTGGGATTACAGGCTCATTATGAGTCTTTAATTTCTATGTTTGTTCATTTTTACCTCTCTGCAGACCATTGCAGTTACCTGTGTCATTACCATTACCTGTGTCTTTACCATTACCACAATAACAACTAAGATCTCTCCCTGGGCTGCCACCTTACCATGGTGGAGGGGTTTGAGTGTCTCAATGATCCTAGGAGCTAAGTTGTCTGAGGCTTTCTGCCTCTGGTAGGGTCCCCCATGGCAAAAAGGTCCTAGGTGATGGATCAGACAAGGAGCAGCCCGACGACCTCTTATGATGAATTATATAAATGGAAACCGGGTTCCCTCGCCTGGATGTGGGTCACCGGGGCCCCCCTCTGGAGCCAGGCCTGGAGGTGGATCACGTTGGCAAGCGCCTACTGGCCGGGCTTTCACCCACGGAGCTCGGCCGGGCACAGCCAGAAGAGGAAATGTGGGTCCCCCTTCCCATGGGCTCACCACTCGTGGGAGGGGCCAAAGGGGTCAGGTGCAGTGTGTGACGAGTGGTAGTCGAGGGCGGGGACCTTGGCGGTCTGATCCTCGGCTACAGAAGCTTGCTCTTGGCACATGGAATGTCACCTCTCTGGTGGGGAAGGAGCCTGAGTTGGTGTGTGAGGTTGAAAGGTTCCGACTAGATATAGTCGGACTCACCTCAACGCATGACTCTGGCTCTGGAACCAGTTTCCTTGAGAGGGGTTGGACTTTCTACCACTCTGGAGTTACTCGTAGAGCTCATTCTACTGCCCACCGACACGTCTTCCAGTGAGGAAGCAGAGTCTGGGGACTTTGGGTTGGCCTCTCAAATCTCTGGTGCTGAGGTCACTGAGGGGGTTAAAAAGCTCCTCTGTGGCAAGGCTCCAGGGGTGGATGATATCCACCCAGAGTTCCTTAAGGCTCTGGATGTTGTGGGGCTGTGTTGGCTGATGCGGCTCTGCAATATCGCGTGGACATTGGGGGCAGTCCTACTGGACTGGCAGACCGGGGTGGTGGTCCCCTTATTTAAAAAGGGGGACTGTAGGGTGTGTTCCAACTACAGGTGAATCACACTCCTGAGCCTTCCTGGTAAGGTCTATTCAGGGGTTCTGGAGAGGAGGATCCGTCCGATTGTTGAACCTCAGATTCAGGAGGAGCAATGTGGTTTTGGTCCTGGCCGTGGAACACTGGACCAACTCTATACCCTTAGGGGGATCCTGGAGGGTGCTTGGGAATTTGCCCAACCAGTCTACATGTGTTTTGTGGATTTGGAGAAGGCGTTTGACCGCGTCCCTCGGGGGCCCTGTGGGGGGTACTCCGGGATATGGGCTGTGGACTTCTACCACATTATCACAGATTAGTTAAATTACTGTTAAATACAAAGTTGTTACAACCCTCCCCAGTACCGGGGTGAGTTTTAACACTACTTGGAGATGGATGTAAAAGTTAAATCATTATGCTTAAAAAGATTCACACTAACATCCATCCATCCGCTTATCTGGAGTCGGGTCGCGGGGGCAGTAGCCTAACCGAGGGCCGACGTGTTGCTACCAGATGTACAGTGTGAGCAGTCAGATCGCATCCGAGAACTGGGTCGTACAGTGCGAGCACATGACTCGTGAGATCTGCTCTGCGAGGAAGTCGTACAGTTTGAGCTGAAGCTGAGTGCTACGAGTGAAAAAGTTGCACAGTGTATGCCCGGCTTAAGGCAAGAGGCCCAGACTTCCCTCTCCCCACTCTCTCCACACTAACAAATGTACAGAAACTCTTTGATTCATGGGCTTCATGAGCCCAAAAGGTTCAATGGTGACATCTGATTCACTCTTCCCTTGGCCGTAAGTTATTTAAGTGCTCCAAGCACACAACGCAGACGTTCTCATCGTCATCTGACGAGTCTGCATTTTTTGTGGCATCAGACTTAGGCCTTCTGATTGTCATTTTCTTCTTTTGCTGGGACACTGCTGGCTGTTTTATGCGTCCACTGCTCAGGCATGAAGTAAAACTGACACCAGTGTAAAATGACAACATGGTGGGGGAAGGTTGTGACACCTTTTCAGATCTGTTACAACCCACCCCATGCCAAGTTGCCATTAAAAAGCTAACCATTTTTAGCATTTAGCTTCAAAGCTAGTACTTGTGCAAGATATCAAATCAAAGAAGAGAAACTACTTTTGAAAGCCAAACATTTGCATCTATAACACAATGGACACTACGCAAAAAATATTTGTGATGAAAATTTTTACTTTCTTACCAGAAAATTAGTTTTATTGTTGCAGAACAGACTGTTTTCAACTTAGAGAAATGTGGTTTTGCCATTTTGTCAGTTTGCAGGTGGGCATAAACTGCACTGGTGACATCAACGTAGCTCGCTTCTGACTGGTTAAACTGAGAGTGTTACACCCACCCCCGGTCCAATGCTGAAATAGCTACTAATCAAGAGGCATAAAAGGATTTTAATGGAAAAAGTTTTCAGACTCTCTTGTTTCCACATCTGTCTCTGCTGTTGTTAAATAACAGAGCAATCACCTACACAGATTTTACTTCTTATTGTTGTTGCTGTTGTTGTTGTTAATAATAATAATAATAATAATAATAATAATAATATTTCTTTGAAATCATACCAAAGTTGAGTAATTCTGCCATAATTGTTTATTTACTTCCAAAGATTTATTAGTGGAACAGTTGAGATAAAATAAATAGCATTTAATTAAATGTTATTATATTAATTTTTTTATTTATTTAAATGTGTTGATGCATCAAAAGTCATCAGACCTTACTGAGGTTAATATTCTCATTTGAGATTTTAGAAACTCTTAAATTTACATATTTTCCTATTCTGGATTTAAGTCTGTTGAAAAAAAATGTAAAAATATTTTTGTTTTAAATGTTATTTAGACAAACACACGGTCTTGTGTCTTTGACTTTTGGTGACCTTCCTGGGATGATTCTCAGCACTGAACATTGTTTACTTTAAACAAACAAACAGCAATGGTCTGATTTAGAAAGAGGGGCCTGGTCTCATTTGTTTTATTCCTAAACTGAACACTTCTGTTTCATAAGAAGGTGTGAGAGCAGTGACGTGCTTAAAGTGATTGAGTTAAAATGTCATCTTTGGTGTGTCGGCAGCACTGGGAAGCTTTCCAGTTCATCACTGAGATCTTTATTCTGGTACCTGCTCTGCTGGGTTTGAAGGGGAACCTGGAGATGACTCTTGCCTCGAGGCTCTCTACAGCGGTGAGTTAGCCACGTGTTCTTTAAAAGTTCTGAATTCGTCCCGTCATCGTTCCATTCCAGACAGGTTGAGTCTGTGGAAGTGCGTCATCTTTCTGTGGTCATGTTGTCCAGTCTGGAACTACCACTCTAGTGTCCTTGACCGTCAGGTGGAACAACAAACAACATGGAGCGAAAACAGGCTGACCTTGGTCCCTGACATGTACTCATCAGCCATGAAAGAAGGACGGGACAGGGCTGTGGTGTTATAAATGAGTGGAGGAGTGCTTTCACCTTGATTTAAGGTTAAACAATGACTCAAATGTTTCCACTTTAGATCTTTGCTGCGTCCCAACTTGAAGATGTTCAGAAGGTGTTTATTTAACAACAGGCCTCTGTGTTTCCTGCTCTAAAAGAGCTTCCCTTTCTCGTGAGGCAGTCATCTTCTCTAGTTTGGTTCAAAACCACTTTCAAGCCTCATGATTTCCCTCAAGCCTTTGGCTGCTGACTCCCTAAGTTGATAAATGGTAAATGGCCTGTATTTGTATAGGCTCTTCACAACACAACCAGCCATTCACACGCTGGTGGTGATGAGCTACGATGTAGCTACAGCTGCCCTGGGGTGCACTGACAGAGGCGAGGCTGCTGAACACAGACGCTACCGGTCCCTCCGACCACCACCAGCAGGCAAGGGGGGTTAAGTCTCTTGCCCAAGGACACAACAGCAGCATTCTCTGGTTGGAGCCAGGATCAAACCTGCAACGTTCCGATTACTGGACAACCTGCTGTACCTCCTGAGCTACTGCTGTCCCAACATGCTTTTATTCTGAAAAGTATTCTGTTTTATTGCGTGTCTTTTTATGTTTTACGCGTACAGCGCTTTGGCTAGCTGCCATGCTGTTATTAAATCAGACTGGACTGGATTAGAGCGTCGAAGGCGCTGAGCAGAGAAACGTGATGGTGGGAACCTCTCATCCAGTAGACCCAGGTGTTTTCCTCCCTGATGGGCTGCAGCTCCCTACATGAAGGCTCCACATTTACACCATTGTGTCAACAACCAGCAAACGCTCCTCAGAATAATAGTAACACGATTCCCTGAACTGGAAACTTTACAAAGCTAAGGCATTAATTAAATGTTGAAATCATATAGAATTTTCTTTATAACTATGCCGATTGGACCAAAATGTCATTTCTTATCCTGATCTGTGTAACGTTCTGCTAGGCTGTCCTCATCCTCTGGGTGCTCTGGGTTCCTCCCACAGACCAGAAACAGGCACTTCGGGTTAGCTGGTGACCCTGAGCTGTCTAGTGGGAGTGGATATGTAAATGCCTGGTTGTCTCATTTGTCCCTGTGTCCCTGTGATGGACTGGTGATTTGTCCAGGGTGCCCTCCTCTTCTTTCTCAGTGAGTGCTAAAGTTAGACACCAGCTCCTTATGGCCCCACTCAGAAAATTAAAGAATAGATCAAAAGTCTCCAAAAAATGTGAATCAACATTTTGTATTTGTGAGATTTGTGAACACAGAACTCTTATTTCACACCTGTTTTCAATCTTCTTCTTGCAGCTGAAAATCAAGCTTGTGTTTGTGTTTCTAATCCAGCTGTTGCTTTGTAAACTCTTTTTCTACCTGTGTTCTCCAGGTGAACGTGGGTAAGATGGACTCTCCCATAGAGAAGTGGAATCTAATCATTGGCAACCTGGCTCTGAAGCAGGTAATCACCGTCTGAATCCAGCTGCAGCACTGATAAACTCTTATAGAAACGAGTCAGTCATATATTTTTATTCTTGTTAGTTGGAATAAGCTCAGTTTGCAGTAATCCCTTTCTAACTTGGTTTCACATCCAGTAGGAAAACAATCTATAAACTCTGTAACTCTGCAAAAACATCCTCTCTCCGTATTCTAAAGCCGGGCGTACACTGTGCGACCTTTTCACTTTTTTGAGCCGATTTTCCAGTCGTGCGAGAATCCACGAGATCGGGCCGAGTTTTGCGCCGAGCGTCGTCTAGTGTACAGGGGGTTACGAGAGGCGATTAACACCACGTGACCAGCTACCGATCAGCAATCGTGAGATCGCACGGACTTCTGGCGTGTTTAAAATTTCGCTCGTCCCTCGTGAGGGTATTGCACTGTTGAAGCGGCGCTGCAAGCAGCTGCGACCCAAAATGTAGCAGAACCGCTCACGGCGCATGCGCAATCCTGCATCAACACCGCTCGCTCGCTATTTCCCTAATAACACACGTTGTTCGTTTTTGTTTCTACACGTTTTTTTACTCACAAAGATTGTCAAGAAAGCGTGTTTGTCGTGTTCATGTCAAATTAAACTGATCACTAAACACAGATTTACTTTCTTTATTTCGTTTTCCTCATCCAACCCCCATAAATCCCTGTGTGTCCTCCTGCAGCTCTCCCGAAGGACAACAGGCAAAACAAGACAAAAAAGTCTGACGTGTTGAGTAAAAACTGCTATTTTTAGCATATTTTTAGGGCCGACGTGTTGCTACCAGACGTACAGTGTGAGCAGTCAGATTGCATCCGAGAACTGGGTCGTGCAGTGTGAGCGCATGACTCGTGAGATCTGCCCTGCAAGGAAGTCGTACAGTTTGAGCTGAAGCTGAGAGCTACGAGTGAAAAAGTCGCACAGTGTACTAGGGCTGCAACAACGAATCGATAAATTTGATGAAAATCGATTACTAAAAGCGTTGGCAACGAATTGCGTCATCGATTCGTTGTGTCGCACAACTCTTCCAAAAGCGCCCCCCCCTTCCCGCCCGCCGTTGCGCGCAGACCAGAGCAAGTCAGATCAGCGCGAGGGAGAGCCTGCAGACTTGCGCTGCTGCGAACCGGTTCCGCATTGTTGTGCAGCGATCCAGGCAGCTGCTTCCAGCGCACGGTCCATTCTCAAAGTGGCTCAACCAAAAAACTATAATTAGCACACGATTGTTCATGTCCGCACATGTTCTCTATTTTCTGTTTTATTTGTGCCTGAAGCTCGCTACTGCGGAGCTCATCACCTGTGCTGTGGTGATGTCACCTCACGCAGCATCGAAAACGCGCTCTGCGCTTTTCGGTCAGGAGATCTCTTTGATCTGCTCAAAAGTAACTGATGAGGTGAAAAAGTAAGAATCCAGGCAACAGATTTTCTGGAGAGTTTAGAGGAGATGCAGGGAGATGAGAGACAGACAGGACAGGAAATAGTTAAATAAAAACAAGAAAACAAAACAAAGTGTTGAAAAGTAAAATGTAGGTAGATTTATCTCCACTACACGTTTTTACCAGTAAAAAACAATAAGTTATACACATGTAGTATTTATACATCTGATACAATTCAGATCACCTTCAAAACTCAGTCACACACCCAGGGCCGTTTCAAGACATTTTGGGGGCCAAGGCAAAATGCCCCCCCCCCCCCCCCCCCCCCCCATAACTGGGCTCCCCAGAAGCCTCTGTGTAATTCATACCCTCTCCAGTAGTGTTAGTTATATGGTGTTTATAAAAGCCCCTCAGACATTACTGACATGTTCTAATATTATCAGATGAAAAACTAACTTATCAGACATGCTGTCTCATCTGCTTCTTTTATAAACTTGCAAAAAGTAACAAAACCATTTGAAATCCACTATTTGTGGATTCTCTGAAAGTTTCCATGGAGTGTGTGACAACTTATTTTATCATTGATCCTATCGTCTAATCTCACAGTTGAAACAAGCATCCTTAATAATCTGTGCACAGGAAGCTTACCGATGCTGTAGTAAAACAAAAGGTATAATAATTTATTATTAATAAAACCTTGTTGCAGCACTAAAGCATAAAAATGAGATTTTGCATTAAATATGCAAAATATTTACATATGAATTGTTTTAGAGCCCTTTAATTGGCAGAATCTGATATTAATTTAGTTCTTACAAAAAATGGGTCCCAACATGGTTTGTGTGGCGTTGCCATAGTGTGACGTCATAGGCACAGATCCCCTGTCCTCTTGTTTGGAAATGGAAATATGGTCACCCTATATTAAACAAACTGTCCACCCGAGCTTTTGCGCTGCACAGAGACGCTTCGCTGCCTACGACTGAACGTCAGTTGAGAGTCAGTCTCATGCAGACTGACCAATGAAGAGAGGGCCTCAAGTTAAGACCCTCTCCTCATTGGTCAGTCCACACGAGGTGGGTCAAAGGTTACTCTGGGCAGGTTACGTGTTGTCAGGCATTCAAGTATTGAGTATATTTACTGCATATTACAGTAAAATATTCTGTATGTGACCACATTATGGTGATCCTTGGGTCGTGATGATGGAGCCCTTGAATATTGTTGCCCAGGGTACAACAAAGTGTTAATCTGGCCCTGGTTCCGCCGTCACATTCCCGCAGAAACTGGTTGATCACACCGGGGCCAGACTACTAGCATGTGGTTTTACAACCACAATGTCCTCGGAAGCAAAAACGCTTTTAAAAGGGAGGGAGGAGTCCTAACTGTTGCTGCAGGCGTGTTGTGTGAGAGTGCAGTTATATACTGGTTAATATATTTTTGGGTTCAGTTGCTTTCATGTGGCCTAATGTGAGTCTATTTGGGATCATTGGAATGATCAGCAGCATTTCTTGATGTGACTTTATGGCAGTTGCCCAGGGCATCATCGCAAGGAGGATGGCATTCATTTACTTTTGTTTTATTTGGTATTTTTCAGTCATTTTTGGAAATAGTGATCAATTTTGATTAATTCACAGCCTATGTTTAATTACATTTAAAATAAATGTCAACAGATGAGATCAAACAAAACAGATGAGAATTGCCCTTAAGCTGTTTAACTTGGACCAAGCATTTTAGGTCACAGATAGATGTAGCTTAGGGTCTCTGTCTGTACACCTTATAAGACAATTTAGGTGATGGCATGTTGTTTTTCTGCTATTGAACTGTTTTCTAATAATGTTGTGTTAAATAAAGTGAAGGAAGGAGAGAAATAATGTTTCCCTAGCAGTTTTTAAAAATTTCCCCATGTAATCCGATTAATCGATTAATCGTGTCGAGACCCCATCCGATTCATCGATTATCCAAATAATCGTTTGTTGCAGCCCTACAGTGTACGCCCGGCTTAACGCAGTGGTTCCTAACTGGGGGTCCCGACCCCCACAAGGGGGCGCCAAAGCCTCTCAGTGGGTCGCCAGGACCTCTCCACTTTAAGGGGTTAAAACTTCATTTATTACTTGTTTATAGCCTACATTTTGCTCACATTTTTTTCATGAGTGAAACGTTTATTGATATTAAGACAGGAAATAATTAGTACAGAAAAAGTAACACACTTTTAAGAACATTTTGCTCAGCTCACTGTTTTATTTTCAAGTGTCAAAAGTTCATTAAAGATAGGACTGGTTGATTAATCACAGCGTTTACAGTAAATAATCTAGTATAAACAGTAATATACACATTTAAGTACATTTTCCTCAGTGTATTTTTTATGTGTCAAACGTTTATTGAAAGGAATGATTGTTTATCAGTGTTTACAAGAAACAATGTGTTCAGAAAAGTAATACAAGCTGTCAAGCACATTATGCTCTGTTTGGTTTTGTTAATGACTTTGTTCTGTACTGGAGCCTACTATTACTGTTATCTATTGAATCAAAGCATATTAAAATGTGCTTGAACAATTTTATCATTTCTTAATACTGTTTGTACTGGAAGAGAGAATGGGAGGGGGTCGTCAAAAATTTTACTGGTAAAAACGGGGTCCCTTGGGAAAAAGGTTGGGAACCATTGTTCTAACGTAATGAACAGCAGCGAAGCTGCAACACTGCAGCAGGCGGTTGTTACTGTTAGAACCCACTTGGCTGTTCTCTCAGATTATTTGATTGATCTGTGATTGTTCAGTACAAAGCTCTGCTGCCCACATGTAATGTCAACACCTCATAAGGAGCTGTTTGTTAGCTACGTTATGCAACAGCATCATAAAAAGTGAGGGAATAAAACAAGGGATTCTTTACTGTTTCACAATCGTGAGCTTTGCACGCTATGCTTGCTAATTGACGCTTGTTTTTATGCAGTCGTTTGATGAAACGTGGTAAATCCCAGTGCTTTTCTGGCTTCTGCAGGTCCAGGCCACAGTGGTGGGATTCCTGGCAGCTGTAGCAGCCGTGGTTCTCGGTTGGATCCCTGAGGGGAAGTTTCAGATGAGCCACGCTGTTTTGCTGTGCTCAAGCAGTGTGGCCACAGCCTTCATTGCCTCCCTGCTGCAAGGTAAACACGCTGTGAGCTGAGCCCCACACTCTAAAGTAAACTGTTGACGCGGATCTCGCTGAGGATTCACTTTAATTCAGCATAGTTCAGTTATATTTACAGTGTATGGAGCCAGCTGATAACGAAGGTCCCCCAGGGTGCTTTACATAGCTGTCTGATTTTCTCTTCAGCACAAGCTAAGTCAGACGGGTGATGAGCTAAACTATATAAACAGCAGTAAAAAGAAAGAATTTCAGTGGTTTTTAATTCAGCACTTTTACACAAAGTGATTCACATCAGACAATGAAATAACAAACATCTGATAAAACAGTAAATAGAGAAACCCACAGTGACTTGACTGAACAATGATGGAGAGGACCAGTCTGAGCTGGAGAACAGGAGAAACCATCGTCTCATTTATTATAACAATGGTAATGATTATGATGATAACAGAAGTAAAAATAAGAGCATTTGTTTACCGAAGTCTAAAAATAAACACTTTGAAAAACCACATTTGATTTAAAATTAATCAAACTTTATTTATAAAGCGCTTTTCCTACAAAAAGTGCAACTCAAATACCTTTACAGATTAAAATGACCCTACACAACCCCTATTGCTATACCTCCCACACCAGTTAAAAGCATTGCCACAGTCGTACCATACCCACATTAACGGGTACTGGTGATGGAGTGACTGTATTACTTAGTGAGACTGGGACTTATGGTAACTGTTTTTGAATATTGGGGTTGTATTTGTTCCATTTAAGATCGTTTGTCCGTTCTCTGCTGACAAGAACAGGTATGAATGAGGTGTGGCAAGGTCCAAGTCCGACATGTGAGTAAATTACCGTAATTACAGATGAAAACTAGAACCATATAAGCCTAGCCAGAATATTCCACTTCAGACTGGTGGGCCGCTCTGTTGGGACATAGGAAAAATTGAGCTGACATACCTGCCACTGTGGTCTGTTTCCAGCACTTTTTAGATCACGAACACAGCTGATGTGTTTAATTTAGTGATGAATCACTCCTGTAGGTACTAAGGAAGGCTGGGAGACATTTCAGCTGTTAGATTTACGTGGTAAAAAGACAAATGCACAGCGAGGAGATAAGTTTTGCTTTTGGTTCTACGAACAGACACTAGGGGGTTCTAAAAGCAAGCCAAAACGGCTTATTTCCCCTTTAAAATTATAATTTATCTTAAGACTATGACTGATTTTAAAATGCTGTTTTCTGTTGCCGGGACAGAGTGTTCCACGGACGAAGGCCAGAATAAGAAAACCACACCTCATTGTGAGTTTGAGTTCTGATAAATGAGCGTGCACCAGCAAACAATAAAACTCCTGAAAATAAATTCTAAATGTGAAAATGTCCAACAGAGGGACAGCTCATGTTAGATGTTTTGGTAATAAAGTTAAAGCTAGTTTGGACATGTCCAGAGGAGAGACAGCGATGACGTAGCTAGAAGGACGCTGAGGTTGGAGCCACCAGGCAGGAGGCTGAGAGGAGATTTTGCGGTGAAAGGGGACATGAGGTTAGATGGTGTAAGGGTAGAGGATGCAGAAGATGGGGCTAAATAGAGACAGGTGATTGGCTGTGGAGACTCCTGAAGGGAAAAGAAGAAAATAACGGTAAACTCTGCTGATGTTTTTCAGATAATGAGATGAGATCCTTGTGATTTCTCATGTAAACTAAAACTATTTGACACCTTGACACGTGCAATTAAAGTTCAGTTTCCTCTGGGCTGGTCCTTGTCCAACATTTTGAACTATATGTGAACAAAATGTAGTAGGATTTATTTCAGCACTGTAATTTTAAAATATCCCAGTCAGGACTAAAATTAAAAATAAAGAAACGACCAAAGAAAACAGTGTTTGAAGTGACTGTTAATAAAAGAACCTGTAATCTTGTCATATCCAGGTATCATCATGGTTGGAGTAATTGTGGGTTCTAAGAAGACGGGCATCAATCCAGACAATGTAGCCACACCTATTGCAGCGAGTTTCGGTGACCTCATCACCTTGGCGATCCTGGCCTGGATAAGCCAGGGCCTCTACAAATGTTTGGGTACGTGCATCAGTGCTAAGCTCATGAGACGTTTCAGTCCAACAGAGCTAACACACTGTAATTCCTTGCTCTGATGGGTTTGGCTTGTTTGTATTGCACTACCCTTTTTAAAATAAATTTGTAAATGTGAACGCTGTAATCCACTCGTTTCTTAAAAACCGAGTCTCGACCCCTCTCTCCATAGCAGCTTCAGACCCATCTCTAAACTTCCGTTCATCTCCAAGATCCTGGAAATGGTTGTGGCTAAACAACTCACAGCTGCTCTTGATGAACATAACATCTATGATAGCTTCCAGTCAGGTTTTCGTAGAGCTCATTCTACTGAAACAGCTCTTCTTAGGGTCTCTAATGACCTTCTGACTCACAGTGATGCAGGGGACTGTTCTGTTCTGGTCCTGCTGGACCTGACTGCAGCCTTTGACACTGTGAACCATCACCTGCTACTGGATAGGCTGAGAGACTGGGTAGGCCTATCAGGATCTGCTCTGGAGTGGTTCTTCTCTTATCTGTCCGAGTGTTCCTTCTCTGTGGCCATCTCCAAGTTTTGGTCCTCCACCACCTTCGTCACCCATGATGTCCCAAAAGGTTCTGGGCTGGAGCCTTTACTCTTCCTCCTCTTTCTGCTCCCTCTTTAGTACTTACTGAGCCCTATTAAAGAAATCTCCTACCATCTTTATGCAGATGACATCCAACTGTACATCTCCTTTAAGCCCCATGAGATGTCTAAGCTGCAGCTGTTACACACCTGCTTAGACTCTATCAAAACCTGGATGGCTGGGAGTTTTCTGCAGCTGAATGAAGATAAGACTGAGATCCTCATCTGTGCCCCAGACAAGCTGGTTCCCAAAGTCAGAGACTCTCTTGGTCAGCTTGCTTCTCACACCAAACCTTCTGTCAGGAATCTTGGCGTGACCTTTGACCCAGCTCTCACTCTTGATTCTCATGTCAGTTCTCTTGTTCGCTCTTCCTTCTTCCATCTCAGGAACATTGCTAAGCTGAGTCCCATTCTGTCCCGCTCTGAACTTGAGACAGTTCTCCACACCTTCATCTCCTCACGATTAGACTACTGTAACTCTCTTTTCACGTGTCTGAGCAGAACCTCCCTGAACCGTCTACAGGTGGTTCAGAATGCCTGTGCTCGGCTTCTGACCAAGTCTTCCAAATACACCCACATCACCCCGCTTCTCCTCCAGCTTCACTGGCTGCCAGTCAACTTCAGGGTTCATTTCAAGATCCTGGTTCTGGTCTATAGGGCCTTACATGGACAAGCACCATCTTACATTGGTGATCTTCTTAGTCCCTACACCCCCAGCAGGTCCCTGAGGTCCAGTGATCAAAGCCTACTGGTTGTGCAGCACCAGGCTAAAGACCAAAGGTGACAGATCATTTACTGCTGTGGCCCCCAGACTCTGGAACTCTTATACTTATCTCTAATATTTTTGTTTTGAAAGTGTATAACAAACGTGTAGAACAAAACTAACATATTAGATGCTGTGAAGAATCACGAATCAAGGAAATGTTATAAAAGAAAAAAACATGCCCAGCGCACGTACGCGCGTGCACACACACACACACACACCTTGGTTTAAAGTTAAACTAATTATACATCTGGTTGAATTGTGACTTTTTTAGGTTTTGCATTTTGAGTGAAACATTTCCCAGTCCACCAGCAGAGGCCACTGTTGCTTCAGCTCAGAGCTGCTCCAGCAGCCTTGTGGTCCTCCACATTACTCCTGCTTTTCTTATCTTCTTGTCTTGAGTTATTTCACACATATTTTCACCAGTATGATAACCAACTTTTTGCACTGGGAACTGTACATCTACGTTTCCTTGCCGGGGCAGGTCAGTGAGACTGGCTGTCAGTGATGCTCCCAGAATGCTAACTGTGTTGTATTTGTCTGACCAGTTCTTCAGATGAGCTATTTGCTTGTTAAATTTGAACATTTGGTAAAACTATCATCAGAATGTGAATGATCCGTCATAGAAAGTTCAGCTCTGTATCTGTTTAAATAAAGAAATCCAGCTGACTCAGATGTGATGACTGACAGGTGTAAAAGCTGCAGAAACCAAGATTGACTGACTGGACTGAAGTTGCATTGAACTAACATTAGGGCTGGGCGATATGGCAAAAATAGAATATCACAATTTTTCCAATATTTTATCACGATTTCGATTTTATCACGATTTTTTATCCATGAATAGCATAACTTCAATTGCGTATTAAAGAAGAGAAACATTGAATAAATAAACATTTATTCATATTAGGGATAATCAACACAGTGCTAACACACTTATATTTTAAACTCACACCAGACATGATAAAAGCCCTGAGAGAAACAATTACAAAAATCAGTTTTTCTCGTTTTTCAAGTAACTTAACATAAATTAAAATCATAAACATATTTAAAGTGCAAACATGTCAATTGCAAACGTATTGTGCAAACATTAACTTGTTCAAAATACTATGTAGCTCCCAGTTGCTCATGTAGTGGATAGTTAAGCTCAAATAAGGCTCTGATGTGCGGCTGGACCAGAGATCGCTTGTAGTAGCAAAAAACTGCGCATTCTGAATATTTTCTGCAACTCTCACTTTGCATTCAGCGTACATGCGTGGAATGGCGGTGTTCGAAAAATACTTGCGGCTGGAAAACTCGTAGCGCGGATCCAATGTTTTTATCATTTTCTTAAATCCCGCTCCTATTGTTCGCACGGGACACAAATATTTAACCAAGTGGTACGTCACTGCGTCTGTCACGCTGTTCCATCGTCTGCTGTCTCTGTCGTAGGGAGTGAGTTTTGTGAGTGTTTCTGTTAGCGTTTGCTGCCTGGAAGAAGCACTAGCCGCTGCAGCCGCAGGCTTTTTAGCTTTAGCTGCCAGCTGGCTCTCGTTGTATTGTTTGGGATGCTTTCTTTTCAAGTGATTAAACAAGTTTGTGGTGTTGCCATCACTTGCCTTGGCGCTCTCCTTGTAAATGACGTTTCGCTGCTCTTTGTCATCTGGTGAAAAACCAAACCAGTTCCATATAACGGACGAGGCGTTCCTCTTCGGAACAAAAACCTCGTTGTCGCTCTCAGCCGCGGCCGAAGCCATGTTTGTTCACACACAGGTGAAAACAAGCGGGGCACTAATATATTACTATCACTCACTCTGATTGGTTAAGGGTCAAACAAAGTCATTCGCCTGAGGTAAGTTCCCTTTTCATTCAGAGACAGAATTTCAACAGCAGAGCTGTGAATCGTGATAAAAAGGTCTCTCAAAAATGACAGACCGTCAGATGTGTAGATCGTAAAACGGTCTAAAATCGTCATATAGCCCAGCCCTAACTAACATGTCAATGCAGCTAATGAATAAGTAGTTCCTTGGATCTACATACCTGTGTCCAGGTACTGGCACATTTAAGGTTCCTTTGTTTTTTAGTGTCCCCACCTACAGGCACACTGTTTTAAATGGGAAATGACCCTAAAACTGCACGTTCGTCTTGTCTGGGCAGAACAAGACATTCTTTTTACAACGAAACCCTTGTAAACACTCTAATGAACATATTTCTGTGACACAGAATGATGGTGAGCTCATCTTCTCAGGTGTTTTTAACATCATCCAGGCTGGAAATGTCTACTACTACTTCAGTAACAGTGGGATTAGTTGACATTTTGATAATTCTGCATTGTGTTTGTGCATCAAAAACATCATTTTTTTGCATCTTTACAACCATTTGATAATCTACCAGAGTTATAGTTTGGTACAGTACCAGTCAAAGGTCTGGACGCAACTACCCTGGTAATTACAATTTTTGACTCGTAATAAAATGGGATATAATAAAACACAAATTAAATAAAAACAAAGTAAATAAATATTAATCAGCGTGACCTTTGATGCCTCCTCTCAACAGGACAAAACTTCTATGGTGGTAATTAGCAGTCAGGATCATCTAGGCCTGGCCAGTAAATCGAAAATATATCGTTATCGAAATTTCTGACTCTTATCATGATAATTTTTCCCATGCCAATAAATCTGATAGTAAAAAATGAAACGATGTGTGTAGGTTGGCAGCTTCCCTTTAAGAAGCTGTACCACCTTGAGTCTCATAAAAATGTGACTCAACATAATACATGATGTGACAGCTCCATCTAGTGGACAACTTTTGTTTCTGCGAATGCCTGTAGTTATCGTCCATTTATCGTTATCGAAGTGAAATCCTCAATATATCGTGATATTAGTTTTAGGCCATATCACCCAGCCCTAGGATCCTCCATAGAAGAGACAAACCAGCTGGGTTTCTAAAGGGAACTGTTTTGGAACCTTTTGGACTCCATTACTGTAAGGTTTTTAACAGTTTTATCATTTTGCTGCGAATCAGAGTACACCTTTGTGCTTAAACATGAGTTTGTATGTTTTAAGGACTTGTTAAAGAGCAACTCACTCCCTACCAGAGTGTTACTCCATTCCCACCTTCTGTTTGAAAAATGCAACAAATGCTGTTGCCTGGCAGACCGAGAGGGCTAATCCGCCAACAAATACACACACACAGGTTCACAATGACATTGTGATATCATAATGTACCAGCTAACTTCATTTTGTACCTCTTAGCCAATAGGGATGGAAGATTTAAATTCAAATGCAGTGCAGAGTTTTTACCTGACGATGGCGCAACACTGAGAGTTTTAGGCAGAATATTTAAATTTTAACTAAGATGCACTAATGTGCCAAATTAGTGATTACACGCATCTACAGCACAATTAGACACTCATTTATATAGTTTATTAACAAAAAAAGTAGATTTGGGGGTGACTTGCTCTTTAAATCGTTTTCCATCTGATCCTGTTGGGAGGGCTGAATGAGCTGTAACTATCCTCTCCAGCACGTTTTATGGAATTCCCCGGTTATGTTGTGCTAACTTCAGATGATAAGTAACTCTACTATCAAAAACGTCTCAATGGGGGCCACAAGCTCATATTCCAGGTCAGACCAGAGCATTCCTTTTCATTTAGATATACCTCAGTAAAATACAGTTTCCTTTTAACAGACTTTTCCATTCGTTTGGTTTTAAAACGCCTTACAGAGAGAATATATTCGCTCTGTTGTTCCACATAGTGACAGTGTATGAGTGACTGATAGCAGGTTTCTTGGTGCACCCCAATCATGGAAACCGGTGGAAGCTTTTTGGACTGAACCAGCTCATTGTTACGAGTACTTTTCATAAACTACCGGTAGTCAAATCTGAGGTAAAACCAAACTCTATTCTCCACACGGGTCTAAGAAAAGCTGGGACTCTCATTCGTGTCCTCCTTCATGTGGTCCAGCGAGGTGTCATTTCAGTGTGGATCTCTCCTCCCTCTCCAGACTCCTACCCCTATGTGTCGTCGTTGGTTTGTGCTTTCTTCATGTGTCTGACTCCTTTGTGGATCGTCATCTCCTCCAAGCACCCAGCCAGCCGCACGCTGCTCTACTCCGGATGGGAGCCGGTCATCACTGCTATGGTCATCAGCAGGTGTGTGTTTAGTCTGGAAAAGGGAAGGTGGCAGTTATTCTGAGTCTACTTCTGTCAGCATCTGATTTGTTTTATTTGTTGAATCATCCTGTAAAAAGATTACAGCTCCCAGAAACATTCACCCCATCTTCCTCCTGAACATGACCGTCTGAAATCAACAAAACAGGAATTATAGTTTCTTCTCTCTCCAGCACTAGCTTCCTGCACTCGGCCCAGGTGATAAAACTTCCCTTTCACACATTGATGGAGGGATGGAAGCAGTAAATACAAGTGTTGGTAATCTGCAGCGTTGGCTAAGAGCAGCTGAAAAATCATTTTGTTATCAGTCTCATCATGTCCTCTGTTACATCAGTGGAGCTGAAGACCTTTTAATAAGGACAATTATACCGAGGCGGACACATGTTTTTGATGAATCCAGATGAGGCCAAACTCTGTTTTCTCTTGTCTTTGTTAGAATCCTCAGATGTATAATTACTGTATTTTGTGTTGTGCAGCATTGGAGGACTCATTCTGGACAAAACGGTGTCTGACCCAAACCTCGCTGGCATTGTTGTGTACACCCCAGTTATTAGTGGTAAGAGCTATGTTTTTGTTTCGCATTGATGTTTAGATTTATTGAACATCAACTACCAGGAGTTGTGCATCTGTGGCTGATGCACTATGTATGTCGATAAGCTACCAACAACCCAATTTCAGATTCAGATTTCAGATTTATTGGCCAAGTAAAATTACATTTACAAGGAATTTAGCTTTGGTAGATGTTCGCTCTCCAAAACATACAACAACCACAATAAATGAGAATAAAAATACATAAAAAACACATAAGAACATGTATACCCCCACACATGTTCATTTACACACACACATATACATATATGCATACACATACACACACACACACATATGTAAACACACACACACACACACACACACACACACACACACACACACACACACACACACACACACACACACACACACTCATATCCATAAGCATACTGAATAAGTATTAAAAAAAAAAGGATGGTAAAAGAATCTACAGATTCAGGAGAGAAATGGCTGAAGGAAAGAAACTGTTCTTGTGTCTGGTAGTTTTTGTGTACAGTGATCTATAGCGTCTGCCAGATGATTGGAGATGGAAGAGAGTAGATGCAGGATGTGTGGCATCTTGGACAATATTCTCTGCCTTTTTCCTGGTCCTGCTGATGTACAGTTCCTGGGCAGAGGGCAGTTGGGCACCAATGATTTTTCCTGCTGTTTTAATAATACGCTGTAGTCTGCATTTGTCCATTTTTGTGGCTGACCCAAACCAGACAGTGATGGATGAGCAAAGTATGGATTCGACTGCAGCAGTATAGAAGATGATCAGCAGCTCTTGTGGTAGGCCGTACTTCTTTAGTTGCCGTAAGAAATACATCCTCTGCTGAGCCTTTTTGAGGATGGAGTTGATGTTTGTTTCCCACTTCAGATCCCTGGAAATGATAGTTCCCAAGAACTTAAATGAGTCCACCATTGACACTGGGCTGTTGGATATTGTGAGGGGGGGCAGCACTGTGGGAAGCTTCCTAAAATCCACGACCATCTCCACAGTCTTAAGGGTGTTAAGCTCAAGATTGTTCTGACTACACCAGACCACCAGCCTCTCAACTTCTCGCTGATAAGCAGACTCATCACCATCCCGGATGAGCCCAATGACAGTGGTGTCATCTGCAAATTTCAGGATTTTTACAGCTGTGTCCTTAGAGGTGCAGTCATTGGTGTACAAAGAAAAGAGCAGTGGAGAAAGGACGCACCCCTGTGGTGTACCGGTGCTGATCAACCTTGTGCCAGATGTAACATTGTTCAACCGCACATGCTGGCTCCTATTTGTCAGGAAGCTGGAAATCTACTGACACATGGCAGGGAAAACAGTGAGCTGAGAGAGCTTTGTGGTGAGGATTTCTGGTATAACAGTGTTAAAAGCAGAGCTAAAATCCACAAACAATATCCTTGCGTAGGTCCTTGGTTGATCAAGATGTTCCAGGATGAAGTGCAGCCCCATGTTAATTGCATCATCCACTGACCTGTTTGCCCTATATGCAAACTGCAGGGGATCCAGCTGGTGACCTGTAGTGCTTTTAAGAAGAATAAGAAGAAATTAAAGCTGCAAGCAGCATCGTTCGGCCCTCGCAGCTCCGCGCCGCTCCGGCCTGGCCGGCAGCCCGGGGCACCAGGGCACATCCGCGGAACAGAAACGTCGGCCACCCCGACACCAGAAACCGCTAACCGTCACCTCATCCGTACCTCACCCTGACTCAGCATCCCCTCTGAGCCCACCATTATATTACACGTCTCACCACTAGGGCAGACTCTATCTTTACCACACTGGTGGTGTGATGACACAGACCAACTGTAATGCTTTTCTGATCACATTTTTTGAAGTTATTGTAGGTTAAAGTTATCTAGGGGGCGCTGTGACCAACTACAGAAAAATCCCATTGAGGTCAGCTTTGGTTGACAAGATGTTTTTCTGTTAATTTGGCATCAATCGGACAAAGCATGGCTTGGGGCTGACAGTTTTAATGACTCTAGGGGGCGCTAGTTCAGAAATAAGGCCACGCCCACAATCTTCAGCTGTCTATTTCTCTTGGGGGTCAGACTAGGATCACTCACCAGAAGTTTCGTAGCGATATCACGAAAACTGAAGAAATGGGACGCAAACGTATTTCCTTTGCGTGATGGCGATTTTCGCCATGCTCCCAAAGCCCCGCCTTTTTTCTAAACCTACCTGTACTGGATAGCAAGTGACCTCAACTTGTCTACTGCTATTTGCGAGAGATTCCTATTGATTGGGTAAAAGGAGTCCAATAGGGAGATGTGAAAAAAAAGAGTGGCGTGGCGAAAGGTCAAAGTTTGAGGCATAGCCACGCCCACACCTTTCAACTTTTGAAAAATCCGACGGTTGAATTTTTTCCCCTATGTCTTAAGAGTATATAGCAGAAGTTTGAAGGCGATTGGTGAAAAGGGCGACGGAGCATCACTCTCCAAACAACGTGTGCGAAAACCACTAAATCGCGTACTTGGACCAAAATGGCCGACTTCCTGTGCGACTTTGTGCTTGGGTCCAAGAGACTTTTTTGTAGGTCCTGAGACACCACATTAGTGTACCAAATTTCGTAATCCTCAGTGAAAGCATGGCTTGGGGCTATTAGTTTAAATGGTCCTAGGGGGCGCTATTTCAGAAATTAGGCCACGCCCACATATTTCATCTGTCTATGTCTCTTGGGGGTCAGACTAGGATCACTCACCAGAAGTTCCGTAGCGATATCACGATAACTGAAGAAATGAGAGGCAAACGTATTTCCATGGCGTGATGGCGATTTTCGCCATGCTCCCAAAGCCCCGCCTTTTTTTGAAAACTGCCAGTACTGGATACCAAGTGACCTCACGTTGTCTACTGCTATTTGCCAGAGATTCCTGCTGATTGGGTAAAAGGAGTTCAGTTTGGAGCTGTGAAAAAGAGTGGCGTGGCGACAGGTCAAAGTTTGAGGCTTAGCCACGCCCACACCTTTCAACTTTTGAAAAATCCGACGGTTGAATTTTTTCCCCTATGTCTTAAGAGTATATAGCAGAAGGTTGAAGGAGATTGGTGAAAAGGGCGACGGAGCATCACTCTCCAAACAACGTGTGCGAAAACCACTAAATCGCGCACTTGGACCAAAATGGCAGACTTCCTGTGCGACTTTGCACTTGGCTCCAAGAGACTTTTTTGTAGGTCCTGAGACACCACATTAGTGTACCAAATTCCGTAATCCTCAGTCAAAGCATGGCTTGGGGCTATTAGATTAAATGGTCCTAGGGGGCGCTGTTTAAGAGTATAGGCCACGCCCACAAACTTCAGCTGTCTATTTCTCTTGGGAGTCAGACTAGGATCACTCACCCGAAGTTTCGTAGCGATATCACGATAACTGAAGAAATGAGAGGCAAACGTATTTCCATGGCGTGATGGCGATTTTCGCCATGCTCCCAAAGCCCCGCCTTTTTTCGAAACCTGCCAGTACTGGAGACCAAGTAACCTCAACTTGTCTACTGCTGTTTGACACAGAATCCTGGTGATTGGGTAAAAGGAGTCCAGTAGGGAGCTGTGAAAAAGAGTGGCGTGGCAACAGGTCAAAGTTTGAGGCTTAGCCACGCCCACACCTTTCAACTTTTGAAAAATCCGACGGTTGAATTTTTTCCCCTATGTCTTAAGAGTATATAGCAGAAGTTTGAAGGAGATTGGTGAAAAGGGCGACGGAGCATCACTCTCCAAACAACGTGTGCGAAAACCACTAAATCGCGTACTTGGACCAAAATGGCCGACTTCCTGTGCGACTTTGCACTTGGCTCCAAGAGACTTTTTTGTAGGTCCTGAGACACCACATTAGTGTACCAAATTTCGTAATCCTCAGTCAAAGCATGGCTTGGGGCTGACAGTTTTAATGGTCCTAGGGGTCGCTATTTCAGACAATAGGCCACACCCACCGGATGTTGACATCAGATTTTTTGAGAGGCCAGACTAGGATTACTCACAAGAAGTTTCGTGACGATATCTTTAGAAATGACGAAATGGGAGGCAAACGTAAGGCCACGGCGGTACACCTGACTTCACCGCGCCGCCGCAGCCCCGCCCTCTGCCGAAAACTCCCATAAAGTGACGCCAAGCAACCCCCACTTGTCTTGAGTTACCAGCTACAAATTTGTGGTGATTAAGTGAAACGGGGCAATTTGGGACCTTTCATAGTAAAACTTGACCTTTTTGGTCCTGAGGGGGCGGGGCTTGTGTGATGTCATCATCCGACCATTCAGTTTACTTTGTGGGTGGATGACAAATGACCACAGAAAGTTTGGTAACTCTATTCCATTCAGTTATGAAGTTATAGCAATTTAAATTTTTTTGGCGAGTAGTCAAACTTCGAGGCCTGGCCCCGCCCCTTCATCATATACGAAAACTCAGAATCCTTGTCTCATTTTGTTCGCCCATCCCTTCTGAGCAATTTGCACAAGTTTTGAGATGATTGTGTGAAAATTGATCGAGTAATCCAATCAGAAACGGACCATAAAAACGGCAAAAACGGCCAAAAATCGCCATTTCAACCCAAAATGGCCGACTTCCTGTTTGATATTGACCATGCTTGCAAGAGACTTTTCTGTGTGGACTGTTGAGTACTACAAGTGTACCAAATTTCATAACTGTACGATCAACTAAGCTTTATGGAGAGGGTTTTTTTTTCACATTGTAGGGGGCGCTGTTCAGCCATTTTCTTTGCGATTTTTTGGGGACCTTTAAAATATCAAAATTTTCACCAGGCCTGACAAGTTTGCAAAATATTGTGAGTTTTGGGGTATGTTAAGGTCCCCAAAAAGCCATTCATTTCGCGCACGGAATAATAAAGAAAGAATTAAAGCTGCAAGCAGCGTCGTTCGGCCCTCGCAGCTCCGCGCCGCTCCGGCCTGGCCGGCAGCCCGGGGCACCAGGGCACGTCCGCAGAACACAAACGTCGACCACCCCAACACCAGAAACTGCTAACGGCCACCTTGTCCGCAACTCACCCT